GATCATGATTTTGAGGCCATCCTGGCTACATAATGAGACTGTCTCAAACACAAAACAAAACAAAAAAGTAGCTGGCTAGCTCAATAACTGAAGAAATGCATGGATGAATGAACTAGTGAATGAATATTTATGGGCCTGTGAAAGATAATTACTTGATAAAGACTCAGAAGATGGGAGGGCGGAGGTTCTCAATCTTCCTATCACTGTGGTCCTTTAATAGAGTTCCCTAAGCTGGTGGTGTCCCCCACCCATAAAATCACTTTTGTTGTTACTTTATAACTGTATGTCTGCTACTGTGGTGAATCGCAGTGTAAAGATTTTGGGGGGTAGAGGTTTGCTAAAAGGGTCTTGACCCACAGGCAGAGAACCACTGAGGTAGAAAAACTCAGTGCATGAAGGTGTCTAGACCCCTTCTGCTCCTGTTCCGGTCTGTAAGGCATGCTTTCATGTTCCCGGTTGTAAAACGCTGCTTCTGGATAATTCTATTTCCCACTTCAAGGAGAGAGGTGGGAGTAGTGTTATCTCTCACCATGTCTCAGTGCTTTACACATGATCTGTGCAGGAACAAGAGATTTCTCTGGTGTTTTAGTTCCTCAGTAACACTCCCTTCATCCTTGCTCCTAACCTGGGAGCACCAGAGATGCTCTCACACTGCCCTCATGTTTTATTGATGCTGAAGAGGAACATGAGTCTAAGCCAGTGCACTTGGGAAAATGGGAGCAGTAATTCATTTTATCCTCATATGAAATTTATGATTCATATTCTTATGCTGTAAGTGTAAAATAACATGTGCTCCAACCATGCCACTTCTTAAACTCTTTAGGCCAGTGGTTCTCAACCTGTGGGTCATGACCCTTTGGGGGTTAAACAACCCTTTCACAGGGGTCACCTAAGACCATCTGTATATCAGATATTTAACAGTAGCAAAATTACAGTTATGAAGTAGCAATGAAAATAATTTTTAATTTAATTAAAAATTCCATTCCCTGGAAACGGAATTACTGACAGTTGTGGGCTGCCATGTGGGTAATGGGAATTGAACTCAGGTCTTCTGGAAGAGCAGTCAGTGCTCTTTAGCACTGGGCTATGTCCAGCCCACAGCAAAAAATAATTTTATGGTTGGGGGTCAGCAAACATGAGAAACTGTATTAACGGGTTGCAGCATCAGGAAGGTTGAAAACGCCGCCATAGTCAAATGTTAGGGAAGGAAGCTACCTCATCTGATGTTTAATCTTGTTTGTCAACTTGATTGCAACTGGGATCAAGGGACAACTATCTGTGAGGGTGTTTCCTGGAAGGGTTAACTGATGTGGGGAAGACACCACCCCAGAGTTGATAGCACCTGTGCCAAGGAAGCCCAGACAGGAAGAAGCTGTGCTGTTATTACCTGCCCTCCTTAGCTCCTAGCTGGTGAGAACATCTACTCTGTTGCTGCTACTGCTGTTCCCGACTTCACTGACATTCAAACTGTCTGGCCTTCCAGCAACTCTCTTAAGACTCCCTCAGGGTTTTAGCATCAGATTGGAAGACCATCAAAAAACACATTTACATTTACATTACGATTTGCAACAGTAGCAAACTTACAGTCATGAAGTAGCAATGAAAATAATTTTATGGGTGGGGGTCACTACAACATGAGGAACTGTATTAAAGGGTTGCAGCATCAGGAAGGTTGAGAACCACTGCCCTACATAGTAAGACCCTGTCTAAAATAGAAAAGTCACTTGGGATTACTTTCTCTGGAAAATGCTCTCATAGTAGAGATGTTCTTTGGCTTTTTCAAATCTCTTCACTGAGTGACACCAGGGGGCTCACAGTTTTCAGGACACCAATGATGCTGTTATGCAAAGGAGGCTGACCCCGGGTACCCTTGCTGAAGAGACTAAGGGCATCTCTGGAAGTCGGCCACCTGTTCGGCAGTGCCCTTTCTTTCCGTGAAGGCTGGTGCTGCAGCTGCTTAAAGGAATGCCTCTGTGTCTCACACAAATGGGCAGAGATCTCGTAGTTTACCTGCCCAGAAGCCTCTGCAGACTGAAGACGTCGAGGAGTGAGTTCATTGACGATGTACAAAGGAAACCCCAAATGAGCGGTAGTGGTATGAACTCCACCTTGACCCCCTGAAGAAAACGTGGGACAGATCAGTAGCCTGAAAGAAAAAGCCTGGCTGGAAGCCGGCATAGACCACAGCCCCCCCAGCGGGAGTGGGACAGCTCCACAAGGAGAGGGAGCGATGACGACAGAGGTGACTCTGTTCCATCAATTTTCGTTGAGTTCTCACAGTACAGCTATGTACTGCCGTGCCTTCCCCGTCATAAAGAAGGGTCACTTTAGGAGACTCGCTGAGATGCCCCCCTATTGATCTGCATCCCATCCATTGACAAGAGCGCCAAGCGGCTAGTTGAAGAGAAGCAGCCCTCGGGACACAGTTTGCTGGCGTCTCCTCCCAAGCCTTCCTGCTCCTTCTGTGTAGACTCAAGTTGCCGCGGTGCCACATGCTTTCACTTTAGCTCTGCATCCGTGGACTGGAGCTCAGCCGTGTCAGATATTTCAGCAGGATGACACTGGGATAGAAGATTTCCGTCCCATACACACTTTTTCCTGCCTGAATGCTAATAGACTTTTCTGGATTTTCTTACCTTGAGAACTATTCACCCTTTGTGGATTTAAAAACGTATGCAGATTTCACTGGCCATTTTAGGGACCTCTTTTGTGAATGTCTTTTGCTGACTTTTGTGTTTCAATGATTTTCATTGTTATTGGAAATGAATTTTTTGTACACTATATTCTGATCACTGTTTCCTCTCCCCTATTCTTTCCAGCTCCTCCTACCTCCCCCAATCACCCAAATCCACACCCTTTCTCTCTCTCTCTCTCTCAACAACAACAACAAAAAACGGAATCAGACAAAACAAACAGGAAAAAAAACAAAAACAAAGAAAAAGCCCAAGAAACACATATCGATTCAGAGATACATATACTCACACATAGAACTCCCATAAAAACACATTAGAAAACATAATATATAAACAAAAGACTTTTTAGGTTAAAAAAAAAAGTCCAGGCAAAACATTATCACATAAAAACCTTCCGAAAATGTCATTGAGTTCATTTTGTGTTTGTCATCTACTGCTGGGCATGGGGCCTGACCTTAAGTGTAGTTTGTATACCCAGTGAGACTCCATTGGAGAAACTAATTTTTCTTTTGTAAGTGGCTGTCAGTTGGGGGTGGAGTCTTGGTTCGGGATAGGAGCTCATGTCTACTTACCCTCTTAGCACTGAGTCCGCCTGGCTTGGACCTGCACAGGCTGTGCATGCTGCCACAGACTGTGTGAGTTCGTCTGTGCGTCACTAAGGCTGGTTTCCTGGATGTCTTCCATCCCCACTGGCTCTTACAATCCTTTTGCTTCCTTTTCCACAGTGTGTGAGCCCTGGGGGACGGGCTGGGATAAAGATATCTGTTTAGGGCTAGGTGTTCCAAGTTGTCATTTTCTGTTCATTAACCCCTTGAGGATCTCTGTTTTTGTTTCCATCTACTGCAGGAGGAAGCTTCTTCAATGATGGCAGATCATGACCTGTGAGTACAGAAGAATGTTATTGGGAGTCATTTATAGATACAGCACAGTAGTAGAACAGTAATATTTGGTTTTCCACTAGGTCCATGGCCTATCAAGTCTCTTGACCACACAAGCAATGGCGCACATGGGTCCCAGCTCCTTAAATCCAATCAGACAGACAATCTGGTTACTTCCGGAAGCTTTGTGCCCCTATTGCACCAGCATATTGCATAGCCAGACCACCAATGTAGGTCAAAGGGTTTGTGCCTGGGTTGGTGTTTACCTTTCTGCTCTGGTAGCATGCAGAGTACCTTCTAGTACCACCAGTAGCCAGTAGGGATTAAGGCTCTAGGTAGGCACCAGCTCCATTCCTTCAAGTTCAATGAGTTATATGGGCATTGCCTTTAGCAATAGGGCCTTACCAGAGTTTGTGGGGAGCAACCAGTAGCATTGACAATAGCCTGAGTTGTTTGGGGGTTCCCATCGGGTTCCTTTGACCAACAAACCAATAAAACAGACAGCATTGGAGAGAGAGAGAGAGAGAGAGAGAGAGAGAGAGAGAGAGAGAGAGAGAGAGAGAGAGAGAGAGAGAGAGAGAGACATTGGGCCTGTCTTGGGCTCTTGAAACTTCAAAGGCTACCCTGAGACAAACTTCCTGCAACAAAGCCATACCTCCTAATCCTTTCAAACAGTACCACTCCCTAGTGACCAAGCTTTCAAATCCTATAAACCTATGGAGGCCATTCTCATTCAGACCACCATAGGGGGTGACGTGAAGAAATGGGGATGGGCTAGAAGGGGAAACTGAGAGGATCTTCAGAAAGGAGAAAAGCTGGTTCCACTACAAGGCTTGGTCCAGGGAAGAGAGGCCCCTACATGTAATTTGCTACAGGGTTGGGGGGTGGGGGATTGAATGAAGTACAGGAAAGAGAGTGAAGATGGCCTACCTGATTCCTGGGCAGCCTGGCCACTGAGTTCCCAGATAGAGAGTTCCTCCAGGTATTGGTGTGGACTAGAAACGGTTCTGAGAGGGCCCACAGGGAGGAAAAAACCTGGGTCAGCCTCGAAGTTCAGTGGAGTCCCCAGGATGGAAACAGAAAGGGAATACACGAGTGCAGCCCCCCGGTGAGAGGCTGCGACATAGCTGGGTGTACAATGGAGCACAGGAAGGGAAGTGCAGAGACTCTACCTGATTCCCAGGCCCGAGGGCCAGCAGGTACCCAGGCAGAGCCGCCTCCAGGTGTTGGTGGCTGGTGCAGAGGAATGGGATGGGCTGTAAGTTCAGGGCAGGGCTGGGTGGGGGGCAGAAGTGCGGAGGGGATGACAAAAAGGAGGTAAGCAGGCAGTCTGCTAGGGGGTGACTGTGGCTTTCATCCTCATTATTTTGATGTGTCCTAATTTTGTAAAGTTCAATTTGTTGTTTTTGTTTTCCTGGCTGGTATTCTGTTCGTCCTAAAAAAGTCTTTGCACAGCACCAAGACAAAAGGCCCACTCTTAAATTCACTTTTAGAAAATTTACTTTCCCTTTCAGATTTAATCAACCTATCACAGGAAAAAATAAATACTTTCTTTCAAGACAGAGCAGAATCTCACGGTCACCAATATCAAGCCTGGTTTTATTTACAAGCATATAATAACTCACTACTGATACTTCCCAGTAATTCTGTAGTAAATATTTAACCTTTTGTGTGATATGTCTAAGAAGAGCACGGTCCAGACACTGGTGTCTCTGTTCTGTGGTTATTTTCCTAAAGGCTCTTTGAATAGAGCTAGATGAGCAGAAATAAAGTGGTGGTAAACAATGCCCGGCCTTAAATCCCAGCCCAGTTTGAGACCTCAGACAAGGTGTTCAACAACATTACACCTTGGAAATTTTCTGGAAACCAAACACGATAGCAGCTAAGCCTTTGAGTGTCTGCCACATTCCAAACTCTGTGTCAAGTGCTGCACTTACGTGAACCCATTCAGCCCTCACAGCTGCTCGGTTACCTAGGAACAGCTGGCAGCATGAGCTCTTCGCAGACAACAGAGGGAATGGCGGAGTCCGGATGCGATCTAGGCAAGCTAGCCCCTGAGGCGCACACACGTAAGCACTGAACACTTTCTCTCAAAGGACAGTGTGGCAATGAAATGAGGTAAACCACAGGAAGCGTGTAGCCTGGACACCGGCTTATTTCATCTGTTTGTTGTTGTTAATTTTTTACATTAATTTATTCTGTGTGTGTGTGTGTGTGTGTGTGTGTGTGTGTGTGTGTGTGTGTGTGCCATGAAGAGACCTCACCCAGATGAACTGACTGAGTGTGAAGAGGCAAGGACCATTCATGCATAGAGACCTCAAGAGGCTGTTTTTGTTGAGGTGATGTTTGATTAGATTCTAGAAGAAGTGTTGGGGGAAACCTTGGGGCTATTTAGAGGTGGAGGCTGTGGTTATGAAAAACAAGGTGTTCAGGTTACCTAAAGTGGGGATGTGTTGAAAACCTTTAAGAAGCAGCAGGGAGGCTTGCTTGGTTAAAGTGGAATAACCCTGACTAAGAGTGACCCCTCTGAGGGGTGTGCAGCTTGGCCCGGAAGGCCTCAGGGCCTTGGTAAGGTGGGCTGATGGGGAGGTGCAGTTGTGTATAGTATTTATGAGTGTGGTGTCTATCAGCAAGGTCTCTGAAGTTCAAATCCTAGCTTTACTGGTTATGTAATCTCAGGCATTTTTAACCTCTTTGTACTTCCTTTCCCTATCAGCCAAACAGGATTAATGGCATCAAATTAGGCTTGGGCAAGTTCTACTGATTTCTTGGCTTCTAGGTAGAGATGCAATTGAAGTGTTCCTTGTCTGAACTTGTAATTTATGGAAAGTATTAAGCCTTTACTTACATTAGTACCCAAAGTGGCTTCTATATTAACCACACTGGGGGTGGTGTTTCAGACCACTTAGCATATGATAATTAATAAGAGAGTGCCATTAGCTCATCAGAGATAGAACTCCAATTAATTAGCAAATGAATTTTTATGTGAACAGTGAGTTTCCAGTGAGACTTGAAAGCAAGCCTGGATCTTGCCAGATATCAAAATGAGCTTTCCCTCAGGCACAAGTGAAAAGACAGGAGACAAATCCAGGTCAAAGGATGCAGCTTGTCAAGGGTGACAGGACTTGATGGAATGCCGTCAATGCGGGTGTTCCAACATGCAGCGTAATTAGATCTTAGGTCTAGACACTTCTGGAAGAAACACAGACAGACACGTGCATCAGGCCAAGATTCTAAATGAGAAAACAGGACGAGAGAAAGTACTCTGTGGGTACTGCTTTGTTCTTGAGGTGATCTTCTGCCACAGAGGGCCTATTGAGGTCTGCTGGTACCCATACTGTCGTTGTCTTTAGTTTGCTGAAGAGATTTACCTCTTCTGAGGTGGTCAGTAAACAAGAGGCTTGAGCGAATATCTTTGTTGTTGATGCCTGTGGTAATGGTCTTATGGGAACAAATCCAGGGCTTTGCACATGCGAGGCAGGAGTTCTACAGGAAGCAGTGTCCCCTTCCCTTTCACTTTGGACTATATTTTGTAATAAGGGGTCCTCCTGATTGGAAGATGAACTCAGCCTCACTTCACAAAGCATCTGTTGGGTCAGGCAGGAGCAGCTCAGAGGTGTACCCTCCCGCCAAAGTGTCTGCTTTTCTGTCAAAAGCAGGATGACTCACCCAGGCAGGTTTCTGGGGAGCCCTCTCTTTGTGGAAGGAGCTACATGATTAATATTGTGTTTGGGGGAGATGTTCCGCTGAACCCTGACTCTTTGGGTACTTTTCATCCCCCAGAAGCCAGATTAGATGAGGATGAATGTGAAGCGCATTGCATAACAGGGCTGAATAACGAAGAGGACAAAGCCTAAGAGATGCTGCCGACGAGGACACGGTCCCTGTTTCCTCCTCTTCCTCCCACAGCTCCTCATTTCACCCCTAACAGCCAAGAGTCTGGGTAGGCTACAGGCTTCTGGGTGCCTTCCCTTTGCAGGGCCAGAGCTAGAGATGAAGACCTCTGAGCTGAGCCTAGTCTGGGCAAAATACACTCTAGTCTATGAGGTCCACTGCTGGTTGTATCAGAACCCATCAAAAGAGAACACGCTTCCTCGCCCCAAATGGTTTTCTGTACATGTTTTGTTTCAGAACAGAATTTGTATATTTGGGGTCTCTTGGACATCAGTCTGTCCATGTCCCTGTAGTCCTGACAGATGAAATTGATTCATAGACTGAGAAGGCATATTCACAGGGTTAATGCTTCCCCAGATTCAAAAGCTGAATGCTTCCTCCCAGCTAATGGAACTATTTTAGTAGGCTCTGGCTCCAGGTTAGAGGAGTAGGTCACTAAAGATATATTCTTCCTTCGGTGTGTGTCTAACCCCAGCCCCTCTCAGCTGCTATCTGCCTCCTGCCTGCTAAAAGGTGAGCAGCCTCCTCCTCCTCTGGGTGTCCCTGCTGCTGATTTATTCCACTCCACCACACGCCAAGAATCACTGGACAAAAGGACAGAAAGTCTGAAAACATGAGTCAAAAGAAACCTTTCCTACTTTATGTATTTCTGTTGGATCTTCCGTCACACTGAGGACTAAGGTAATTGACTAGTAGGGGGCCAGAACCAGAGGGCAGAGATGCTCAGCAGAAGAAAGCTCTTGTGGAGTGAGTGTGGCATTAGTAAGCACACGATTCCGAGTATGAATCGTGTACTTAAAATGCTGAGAGTCCTAAGAGCTGAGAGGCCTGGGTAAGCTCATCCACCAGCTCTGCCTAGTGCGTCTGGAGCCTCTCACCACCACTTCTCTGGAGCCCTTGCCAGGGAATTCAAGCCAGGAGGGTGACATCACTGTCGCCTTATTAATGTCCCACGTGCAACAAAAGTGGGTGGCAGGAAGAGCTCTCTCTGCAGAGAACACTCTGTCTTGATACTTATTCAAACAAGGACAAGCACATTTCAAAACATGTGACATTTCATCAGGAGGCAGGTACAGGTCCACAATCCATTTCTGCAATTACAGAATCTCCGAAGTGCTGCAAGCAGAAGCCTTTTGGTTATAATGAAGATAAAGTCGTAACAGCAAAAGCAATCGTGATGCTATCCCTGACTCAGCATTGTGGTCTGTTGCTATCGTGCCTGCTCTCTCTCTCTCTCTCTGTGTGTGTGTGTGTGTGTGTGTGTGTGTGTGTGTGTGTGTGTGTGTGTGAGTGTGTTGTTTTGGAATTTGGAGTTAAATTCATTTTAAATTGTGTTAGTGCTGAACCCATAGGAGACAGTGAGGGGAATTATAGAACTTGGGTCATGGACAGTGACATCTGTTGTAATGAAAAGTAGAACATCAGAAGTCAAAACAGGATGTATCACTTAAAAACTGAGTGGCAAGTCACAGGAGATGTTCTATGAAATGAGGGTCAAGACCTAATGGAAGATGGGAAAACATTGCCAAGGGCAAATAATGCAAGATCCTAACCACTCATTAAATGCACTCACAATAAGGAAGTGAACAAATGCCACCAATCATTGGTCTGAAGCAATTTACAAAATACAATAAAGACTAAATCATGAAAGCACTGCAAACATTCAGAAAGTTAATGTGTTAGGTTGCATTTTTCTCATAGAAACAAAACCAGTAGGATGTTTTGATGGGTATACACATAATCATTCCATAACACATTGACAAGCTAATCTCCTTTACTTAAGTAAAGCTTGTAGAATGTCAATCGCATTTATCCCTGGTGAAGACAACACCAGGGAGAGTTGTATTTGACCAAGCAAGTAGCCATGATTTAACATCACCATATAAAATTTATCACAGCTACTCATTTGAATTTAAGATCATTATGGAACACCATCCTAAAAGCCTGTAAAAACAGCATTCCTGCTAATGTTGAAGCAGCAGTTAACATTTTAATAAATTTGTTAGGTTCTGTCTTAGGTAGACATTAGTTGTGCAATGGTTTATTTTGAGTTGTGAGCCTAGCCTTTAATGGTTGAGCCATCTCTCCAGTCCTGTGCAACTATTTATAATGTCAATGGCAAGGCTCCATATTGACAATCCCACACTGAGGCAAAACACTCCTAGGACTAAATCACATTGTGTGATGCAGTTCTCTCTAAGAAAGAGAGATCATTTCTGGTCACCCAATCTTGTCATGTGAGCATATGAAAAGGAGAGCATCTATCAAGTAAGAGAATTGACCTGTTAGGTAGATTCTCTGTTACTGGCTTTGTTATTTCAAAAGGGTGGTTTATCAGGGGCCTAAAAGTCTCTTTCAAATCTAGTTTCTGGTGCATAACTGTCCATCTGCAATTGATAACAAACATAACAAACAAATCCTACTCCACAAGGAAATCTGTTAAATTGATTTGCATGCAGAATGGTTGAGTAGAACAATCAATCTAGTATATAGTTAGAGTAAAACTTACTAGGGTATTTTTAAAAATCTATATTTAATTAACTATTTTATTTAGTAATCTATTATAAATAAGACTAGTATTTACTGTCTTTAGCACACTTAGTTTGAACTGCAGAAATGGTAGCATATTTGACTTGTGAATTTGTTGGCCCTGGATGCCATAATCAAATGCCATATACCAGGTGGCTAAAGTAACAAGCATTTGTTCCTCAGAGCTCTAAAGTCTGGGAAGTACCAGATGGGGGTGTCAACTGGCTCTGTTTCCAGAGAAGATGTTTCTAGGCTCATAGATGGCTACGTTCTCCTCGTGTCTTCACAGATGAGAGAGAGTCAGAGATGGAGTGAGGGAAGGAAGCAGTGCCATCCTGGGTTGGTGGTCTTGGGTTGTAAAAGGAAGCCAGCTGAGCAGAAGCAAAAAGCGAGCCAGTAAACAGTATTTGCTCATGATCAGGTTTCACTGAGCTCCTGTCTACATGCCTCCATGACTGGCCGTGACATAGCAGTGTAAGCCAGATAAACCCTTAAGTCCCCAAGCTGTGTTTGACTGGCATTTTATCACAGCAACAGAGGCCAAACTAGAACAGCAACTTAATGAAGAAAGGGTTGGCTTTATATAACAGTCTATATCGTGTTGGGACACTATGGGGTCTGAGCTGGCTGCTGGTCACATTGTGTC